TAGCATTGCACTTGAATTATTACAATGTGCAATGACATGATTTGAAATTAGAATAAACAGCTCTAGAAGACATTTTGTTCCTCGGTTTGCAGACTGAGTACATTTAGATATGTTGCATATAAGCCTAGTGCACTAGATAGTAAATTTATTGCTATTTCTGAAGGTTGTTCTAACCCTGAATGAGTTTGATGCCATTGCTGTCAGTCAAGAGACGTCATATCCTGCTATATCTTTACCRCTAGGAACACATTCATTGCCGCCAGAGGTATGCAAAAAGTTATTGCATTTAAATCTCATTCAATCTCGTTTGTACACTGATGTACATTTTAATGATGCTATTGATTGCGGGTAAGTTTGTTACTGGTTTATGAGTTGGTATGATGATTAGTTGGTTAGTTGCTTGTTGGGTTGATTGGTTAGTTGGTTGGTTGGTGGGTTAATAAGTTGGTTATGTGTAGTGTAGTTGGTTGGTTGTTGAGCTGATTGGTTTGTTGGTTGATTGGTTGGTTGGTTAGTTGGCTGGTGAGTTGATCGGTGGGTAAATTAGTTGGTAAGTTGATTTGTTTTTGAATTGATTAGTAAGTTGGTGAGTTCACTGATGTTGTTCTTATCAAGCTTATGCTBGTCATCAAATGTAGGTACTGCCTCAAATGGAGCAGTTTGAGCGTATCATTCTGTGGTTTGGAAATGATGTGAGAGCTCGGCAGGCAGSCAATCAGTTTTCTAAGAAACTCAATATTCAACGATGTCATATTGTAAGGTATTTACAGTGTGTTGAATCTTATGAACTGAAAAATGTCTCCTCAACTACAGCCTTTTATGGAACCGGGATTCCTATGCTGTTCTCGAAATATAGTCTATTTTTTGATCATTATGTTCTATTTTTTTTTCTCCTTTCTGTTATGTAGGCCTTCTGGAGACAATCCTCCTAATGGACCACTAGATGCTCTCAATAAGGCAAGGAACATTTCTTGAATYGCGCGAAGAAACTATAGCCATGACKGCAAAGATAAAGATATAGGGTCAAGYCGSTCTCTCTTTTGTGWTATCGCCGATTTTATTTCCGCAAGRAAACTCAACGTTTTGTATTTCAAGCCGCCYTCTCTATTTTCAGCAAGCTAGAAAAGAAATGAAGTTTCTCTTTCTTTTTATATAATGATAGGGCATCGATCTAAAGGAACTTATTGCATCGTCGAAACCTATYAGTCATGAAAAAATCGCCACTTTTCAAGAGGTAAGTAAGACATCTATGAACWTTACTTCCCCCACCCCATCGCGGGTACGTCTATTGTTGCCACAACGTGTTGGATAGGTTGTAATTCTGGTGTCYTAATCATTTGCCATTTGCTATTTTTATTTGCTACAATGAAAGAAATCTCGTAAATCTTACTTAATGTCATTGATCATTGAAATCGTAAGTTGTTTAAGTTTTCCAAGATGCACAAGTACTTTCTCATATCATTAATTATTCGTGAGGTATCTAGCCAATCCCTGAGTGTAATTTGTACCACGTGCAGTAACTGCATACCAGAAGAAGTACTCCTACCTTGTATAATTCTACCTGATTTCCAGTTACGTCTACCTTGTTTCCAGTTACCTCTATACCTCTATATGAAAGGCCATCGATGCGTACCCTGAAAGGACAAGAACATCGTTGCTCCCGTAATCCTGCAAACTACGCGTTCATCACTCCTTGTCAGCCTAAACCAAGTTCCCAGCGAGATAAGTACTTTGTCCCGTCGTTTTTTCTCTCTAATGTGATGTCTTTGGCCCCTAAAATCGACGAAGTCTCACATGTTGTCCTAAATGCAAATTTCGACCTTGTTTGCATTACGGAAACCTGGCTACAAAAACACATTCCAGATTCTGCAGTTGCCCCAGGGATACAACCTCATTCGTCTCGATAGAAGGGAAATTATTCACGGAGGGGTATGCATATACTTAAATGAACTGATTCCATTCACCGTTATGGACGATTTCAAAGATAAAACCGATGACTTATTGGAAGTACTGTGGATAAAAATTAGACCAACTCGACTCCCAAGGGGCTCCTCTGATATTATTATTGGACTTGTCTATCACCCTCCATCAGCGAATAACTCTGTAATGTTAGATTATCTGACCAGTTGTCTATCGGATCTTGAGTCCAAACACCCGAACAGTGAAATAGTTGTGCTTGGTGACTTAAACCAACTAAACGCCTCGATATTGATGACCAATTTCGGTTTAAAGCAAATAGTCCACTTTCCAACTCGTGGTCGGAAAACTTTGGACAAAGTCTTGACTAATTTGAAGTCATATTACGACCCACAGACTCAGCGTCCTCACTTTGGGCTCTCCGATCACTGTTCTGTCGACGTGCAGCCAAAACAGCGACACAAATCATCTCAAGTTAAATACACTGTTCTGTCGAGGGACCTGAGACCCTGTACTCGTCTGGCAATGCGGACTTATCTCGAACAAGTGAATGTTGCCGATATTCTCAACACTGGAAGCTCCTGCGAAGAAAAAAAACTCCTTGCTTCAAATGATCATCAGAACCGGACTGGACGCCATCTCACCCGTGCGATCACAAATCGTGCACACTACAGAACCGCAGTGGATCAATCCCTCTTTAAAAAGATTGATTGCTATAGCGTCAATCAGCTTTCAACAAAGGAAACCTAGAGGAGTTTCGTCACCTGGGGAAAAGAGTAAACCGCGAACGTAAGATCTGTCGCGCAAGTACTACGATCACAAAGTCGGACATCTTAAGGACTGCTCCCAGTCCAACTGGTGGAAAGAGGTAAAGAAAGTGAGTGGCACAACTGGTAAAGAAGACCGCAACATTCTGAAGTCATAACATCATCTCGAAGGTGTTAGTGAAATGTCAGCTACTGATTTCGCCAACTTTATCGCCAACTTTATCAACACAAGGTTTTTGACTCCGATGGAAAATTTCCAACCACTTACATCTAACCCTCTACAACAAGAAACCATTGCAGGGAACTTCACTGACGAAATCATATGGATGAACGAAATGTCAACTTTTAAAAAACTCGCGACGCTAAATCCAACCAAAGCCCAGGGCCCCGATGCAATCCCAGGATGGATACTGAAAGAGAATGCCGATCTTTTGGCTGGTCCAATATGTGATATTCTGTACCTCTCATACAGTGAAGGGCGACTTCCTTCAATCTGGAAGGAAGCTGATGTCGTACCAATCCCTAAGCAAACTAAGACCAATTAAGGACGTTAATAAGCACTTACGCCCAATCTCTCTCACTCCCATCATCTCTAAGATCGAAGAGGAGCACATTGTTGAAGCTACGTAAAACCTGTTGTGCTTAAGAAAATTGACGTACAGCAATTGGGCACAATCCCTAAATCGAGTACCATGCATGCTCTTATCGACATGACACACCAACTGTACGTAAGTACCGATGGTAATGGAGCTACCAACCGCCTCATCCTGTTTTACTTACGCAAGGCTTTTGATCTAATTAATCACAACATCTTAGTAGAGAAATTACTAACCTACGACATCCCGAAACAAATCGTGTGCTGGATTTTTGACTTTTTGATGAACAGGAGACAACGTGTTAAACTAGCAAACGATTGCTACTCTGAATGGCTTTCTGTTCCTGCCGGTGTGCCCCAAGGTACAAAACTGGGCCCGTGGCTCTTCCTTATAATGATTAACAATCTCATCGTCCCAGGAGCGGAGTTGTGGAAATACGTTGACGGCACGTCAATTTCCGAAACTGTAGAGAAAGGTCATTCAAGTAACATTCAAGCTGCTGTAGACAGTTTTTCTAGACAGTCTATCTCCAATGATTTCCAACTCAATGAGAACAAGTGTAAGGAGCTTAGAATCTGTTTTTCAAAGAAGCAGCCAATTATCGACCCCGTGGAAGTAAACGGCAATTCCCTTGAAGTAGTGTCTAGCTCCAAATTCTGGGACTGAATGTTACCGACGATCTTAAATGGAACGCACATATCTCGGAACTTGTAAAGGAAGGTTCTTCCCGACTTTACTGCCTGAGGCAACTTAAGAGATCGGCGGTTGCCCCTAAAGAACTTATCCCATTCTATATGACGTGCATTAGATCTATACTGGAATATGCAGTCCATTTTTTGTTGAAAGGTGTTTTCTGAGTGGTTCATAATCACAGATGGTAAATTTTCGTATTGAGAAAATCGTATACAGAGGTTCTTGGATGCATGTAAGCCTTTAAATGTAAAACCACATGTGCATCTTACGACGAACGGCAAAAAAACGCTTTTTCTCATTGTGTAGTTCCAAAAAGTATCCATACCCCCACCACGGAGTATTTCGGAAATTCCGAGGGGGTGGGGYGACCGACCTCTTGTCTTTGAATCACAGATTCATCTCGGATAAAAATRATAATAATCCAAGCTGGTGAAATGACATCGTGTGACACCTCCATTTATTCATTTTTGCACATGCGCACTTYTACTTATTCCGTGTTAGTCTTATTAATCATTCTTCTGTATTTTTCTTTGCAGTTAAGAAATGATGTCTATAGTGAGCTAGTGAATGCTGATCAAGTATCTGGTGTTAAGGTTGGTAAATCATTTAAAGACCCCCAGCAATTCATGTGAATGCAGCTTCTAATGGAGGACAAATGTACGCTWTCTAGTTACCATTGCCAGCTTTCATGTCCGAGCAGGAAACTGGGTTCAAGTTTTAAAATTACGCAAATCGGTGTTTGACCTACATTATCTGAAAAAGCAAATCTAAATCAATTAAAACGCATAGTTTGRCGGAAATTGAGTCATAATATGTCGAATATTTCAAAATTTATAGCCATTCAAATTGCTTTCCCAACAATCTATTTATTCCTTTGTAAGTTTTAACATTTTTGAACAGCTTAAAGTTCTTAGATATTCATCTGACCTAAACCAATTGTGCTCTCCAAAATGATATATGTAACTTGGCGATTATTGCAGTTTTAAAACTCGAACCCAGCCTCCTGTTCGGACATGAAAGCTGGCAATAGACCTAATCGGCTAACGGCGTTGCTATGTGCGTTGCCACCCAATTCAAATCCTGTAGGAAAAAGAACTTTTATTTCTAAGAATTCAACTGTGAAATGAAAATACAACGAACAATGAAACTTTCTCCCGAGTGGTTTGAATTGGTTTGAAGCCGATTCGGTCTATTGCCACACTCTTGACGTAATAACATGTTCAAAACCTAAATGGACACAAGAGCACAGCTTCCCACTTGTACCCAAATCTAGTCCTGGTACATGTAAACATCAAAGTCCACATGAAGTATTTCAGAAAATCTTTTCTATCCAAGAGAGAGCATGCTGTTCATCCTTTATTTGAGAAAATAATCGATTTGAAAATTGATACATATATACATATATATTCTGGTTGAACTAATTAAAACCACTTTAAGCAATATGAAAATGCAGCGATGTTAAYTAAGGGTCCTTATTTTCATATGCAGAATCTCAGGAAGGACATCCCTTTTGTTAGGAAATAACATTTTCAGTTTATTGAATAAAAACTTTCATATATTACTATGATTGATGTTAACTAAAAGCAAACGATAAAAAACTTCTAACGCAACTCAAATRTTRAGGCCGTATGAASYGAAGTCTAAGGTAATATACTKATATTTCGCGCATGCATGATGCTTTTGCCTTACAGCTGGGCACTCGACAGCAATGGCAATTATTATCGCGGATTCACATATATTCCGTACTGTACTCGGCGTKATCATAAACTTTCGATGAACTTATAAAATAGCTTACAAATATAGTATCACCTTGCTTGACATCCTGTATATAGTCGATTGACAAACGTTTGTCTTCGACTGGGTTTCACGAAACGCGACTATAGCCCGAACTGGTATCTGGGTAAAAATGAATGAACTGGCCAACTAGAGATTTGAACGCCTTTGCGATTGGAAGAACTGACACATAGTGTGACAAAAATTTCCAACTCACAATATTGTTTTCCATCATGACGGGAAACACAACGTTCAATGTTTGTCTTCGAGTTCTTAAAAAAGAGAATAAAAGCCGACACAAATTGACACTATACTAGAAAGTGTGGTTATGCTAATTTTCCAGTTTATTGATTTTTACTCAGAAATCTGTTCGGGTGTGTCGCGTGCTACAAAGTCCGGTCGACGACAACGTTTTGTCAATCTACTAAAAGTGGAAAAGCTACTTTGATTTTCACTGGTTGTTTTTTTTTTTTTTCTTTTAATTTAAATTCCTTCATTTTAATGATCGATATTCCTTTTTACCATTGACATATTTACGACTGATTGCCTTATTATGACTCAGCTAAGAGAGTTTATTGACGTTTAAAAGCTCAACATTGTTGTATTTTTGTGGTACAGTCACATTGGCGTAATTAGTATCATTTGAAGCTYTACATTTGAAGATTGATTTAAGTCCCATTCCGAAGGACTTCAAGAATGTAAAATAAATTAATGGATTTGCAACTGAATTCATGGAATAAAGCAGAATTTGAAAAGAATTAAATATTCCATGTTCTAAAGCCAAAAGCGTCTCGAGTGATGTATACAAACTGAGGAATCCCACAGAATACATAAAAAAGGATTGTGACTGTAATTATGATAGTGATTACTTTTCGCTTTTCTCTTGCTCTTGCTCCTTGAACGGCTGCTTGAAACTCAAACTGGTCGTCTTTCCTGATGGTCTTGATGACTTTGTAGTACAGAACCGACATTACTACAGTAGGGAGAAGGAACAATAATAAAACAGTTGCCAGAGAATACGCGGCAGTGTTGAACCATTGAGCAATGATAGAAAAACATCCTTTGTTGCCAACATTTGTGGATAGTATGAAAATCACTACTACCRGTAGGCCCAAAAACCAGCACAGCAAAATTGCAACCTTCAATTTTCGATTGAAAGTGCCACCAGTCCTTCTGCTCAGAGGTGTAACTATAGCTCTATAGCGTTCATAGGCAATCAGTAAAAGGAAAGCAGGTGTCGCTCTTGCTCCAATCCAAATAGACAGCTTTATTTTACACAGAATTTCAGCCCCGACATGACTGTGGTTGTAAACTCTCATGATACCATCACCCTTACCCTCGACGTACAGCGGAACATCAAGCAAAGTTCTGTATACTACTGCCAGTATTGATGCTATTACATCCAAGATGGCCAGATTGAGAAGTGCATAGTTAAACGCGGTTTTCTTGACGAATGTTGAATGAAGTATGATATGACAGACTAAGGAATTGCCGATGATAGCACCAGAAGCCACAAAGAAAGTCAAAATATCTGTGAACATGATGCCGTTTGAAGAATCTCTAAATATTTGGATTTACTTGTCGCGTCCTTTATAAATTTGTTCTGTCGATAACTCCTTTTCTATATAACAGCACATTACGAGACTCAAATTATAGTAATTTAGATCTTGAGTTACCAATGAATGAGCAAGCTATATTTTCAGTTCAAATTATATATATAATAGGCAATTTTACCACATGTTTGTAAATTCTCGTGCGCTGACTGGCTGATTAGAGTGTGGCAATAAAAGGGGCCATGCAGACTGTGCTGACAGCATAACGACTCGCTTGCGCGCTCAGTTGAAAAAAAAAAAAGTTTTTCACTAAGTTTTTGACTCACTCGTGTGTCCTTGAGTTTTGAACATTTTATGACGTCAAGAGTGTGTCAATATGAGGACATACAACTCAAAAGTGTGCGGAATTTGTTAACTTGAATTTGCATATGTTCTTTTGTATAATTTGYTTTCTACAAAATTGTCGTTTGTTGCTCGCGTCTTCATTTCTGCCGTCGTTTTCTCTATGATCAATGCAACGTTAAATTACGCTCTTGGCTTTTTGAATCGTGTTACCTATGAAATAACATCTGTTCTGACATCAGAGATTGTTTAAGGACACTGAAGCTTTTTCACCACATTACCTAATGAGAACTTGTAATGTTGACTTGCTAAAGAAAATCTGCTGAATTTGGAAAAGAAATCCTCTATCATTGCTAATTTGTGTTTGTCAATATATTCATTGAAACTTTGGTGCACTTCAATTCCAATGTCTAGTTACTCAAATGACGCATTTATTTTATAATATATCAATCAATCATCTGAATATTTTATTGTTAAAAGAAGAAGATCCAATTCTAGGGCAATTCTTGTATACTCTAAGTCCATTGTTTTACTATATCGAATATCATGAGTTCTCCGTCAAAATGTTTGAGGCCTTACAGCAATTTGTAAACGATATATGAAAACTAACTAATATCGCAAAACACAACAACAAAATAAATAAGATCACTGCTGTTGGCAATGTGTTTTTGTTTAGTCTTGGAAATTCTTCTTGAATATTACTATTTTGCTTTATTCCTCGCATCTTCTCCTCAATTTATCGTGTAGATAGCYCATTAATGCTTAAGAGTTCGATGTGTTTGTCTTCTTTTGTTAAGATATTCTCGAAACTGGCGACTTGAACTGGTTGTGCATTTGAAGTGAAAAGCATTCAGTCATTCCTAATGCTGCATTTGAAGAGTGATTTGAATCCCATTCTAAACGACTTCAGAAAAATGAAATAAATCAAAGGATTTGCAAGTGAATTAATTGAATAAAGAAGAGTTTGTTCGGAATTAGTCCATGCTTTGAACCGAAAAACCTCTTTAGCGATGTATACAAGCTGAGGAATTCCACAAAATACATAGAAAAGGATTGTGACTGTAATTATCATAGCGATGACTTTTCGCTTTTCTCTTGCTCTATGAACGGCTGCTTGAAATTCAAACTGTTCGTCTTTCCTGATGGTCTTGATGACTTTGTAGTACAGCACCGACATTACTACAGTAGGGAGAAGGCAGATGGTACGGTTGAACCATTTTGCAATAATTGAGCTGCATCTTCCCTGCTTCCCAATATTTGTCGCTACTGCGAAAGCTTATGTTGAAATGCTAATGTTGAAATGCTTCCCAAATCCAGCTCATTAAGGCCCGGCCAAACTGTAAATGTTGCACGATGCAACACCATGCAACATTGTTGCGCGATGCAACATTTTCTCGTTTGGCCACCGTGTTTGAAGGTGTTGGATGTTGTTGGATGTTGTTCGATGGAGCATGCAACATGTTGCACGGAGTTTGAAGGCCGTCAAACATTCAATGCAACACCGTGCAACATTTCTTTTGTTCTCGTGTTTGACGTGCGATGTTTTGCCGTTTGGCCGGTTATATGAAACATGCACGCATGCGTACTGCGCCTTCGAAGTGTCAGTGTCTATCTATGTTTTACGGCAATGTTTTAAGGCAATGTTTCAAACCGTTGGCCAGCCTCAAATTTGTTTGATGATCCAACAATGTTGGATGGTGTGGCATCGTGCAACATTTATCGTTTGGCCGGGCCTTTAAAACCGCTATTTTCAGCTTTCTGGTGGAACTGCTTCGTAGGGCCAGAGGTGTGACTATAGCCTTATAGCGTTCATAGCCTATCACCAAGAGGAATGTTGGGGTCGCTCGGACTCCAATCCTAAAAGACTGTCTTACCTTACACATTACTTCAGCTCCGACGGGACTGTGAGTGTAAACTGTCGTGATGGCATTACTCCGGCCACCGTGATTCACGACGAGTGACGCTTTGTATACTGCCAGGACAGTTATTATGACATCCAAAATGGCCAAATTGAGAAGGACGTAGTTGAACGCGGTTTTCTTTAAAAAAATCGATTTGGGTATTATATGACAGACTAAAGAATTGCCAATGAGAGCAGCAAAAGCCACAACGAAACTCAGGATATCTGTAACCATAATGCGGAGGCTCTTTCAAAAGTGGGGTTTACTTGTCTTAGTTTTATAACAACCTATGTTGACACCGTGTAATTTTGACACCGTGTAACCTATCACAAAGTCAGCATTGAAATCAGTTGTCTGTACATGCGATTATTTTAGTTCAAAGTATGTTTTAACCGATCAGGAAAGTATGAGACTTATCATTTAACGAGACATAAAGATATCAGATTTTTTTTTTATGACGGTACGGAGTGGCCTTATGAAGTGTGTGGCCATGAAGCGGGATTCCACTCTACAGACATTTTGGTCATCATGTGGACGTGGTCTTAATATACAAAATATTCGTTTTCCAACTACCAACTGTAAAAAAAAATTGACTTTGCCAAAAATTGTCATGTGGTTACTGGTACAAATGTAAGACACTTGCACAAGAAATAACCAAATCACTAGAACATTTATACTTTTGTTTCACGGATTTAGGGTGTCAATCGGCGGGCCTAACATTTCATTCGAAGGAATACATATAAACGTTCTAAATTAATTCACCAGCAAATCTCCTTAAAAGTATGTCCATATTGGAAAAAACATTCAGTGCATGCGGTGTTTAAGGCAAGGCATCATATGATCATGCTATATTATGCACACATTTTCTCGTGAAGCGGAAATCGAGTCTTCCACTATTGACTCTCGATGGTCAGTCAATGATCAAAGCCAAAGCGACTGTGTAAATTGTAAACATCGTCTTTGGTATGGAGTTCACACTATTATGAACGTCTTCACTTTTCTAATTATTTTGAAATAAATAAATTCATGTTGGAGTTCTCACCCATTCTCATGAAATATGAATATTTTCAGGCCTGAATCTGCAACGTACTATGCCTTCTTAGCGGTCATTTCATATATTGCTTTGACTCATTTAGAATCTGTTTGATGGATACTGATTTGTTTTTGTTTTTAATTATTATTTGTTTTGCTGGTTGAAGGTTGATAATCAATTTTCAAAAGCTCAATATTATTACCCTTTTGTGTTGCCACATTCTTGCAGCTTGAAACGTGGCTGATTGAAAGCGAGTTTTGACTTGGTAAAGCGTCGTTATCATTAATACACTTGAAGGCCGCTTGTAGTCCCATCCTGAACGACTTCATAAAAACAAAATAAACAAAAGGATCTGTAACTGAATTGATGGAATAAAGTAACGTTTGAACTGAATCGTTCCATAATTCAAAAGTGAAAACTACAGAAGTGATGTATGCGAGATAAGGAAAGCCACAGAATACATAGAAAAGAATTGTGACTGTAATGATGATAGCGATGACTTTTCGCCTCGCTGCTTTTCTTGCTCTTTGAGCGGCTGCCTGTACACCGAGCTGTTCATCTCTTTTGATGACCTTGATGACTTTGTAGTAGAGCACYGACATTACTACAGTAGGGAGAAGAAAACATATTGCGGAGGACAGGATAGTATACATTGTAGGGTTGAACCACTGCGAAATGGCTGACTGACACCCTTCGTCGCCAACATTTCTTGATACCATGAAAATCACCAATGGAACACTTCCCCATATCCAGCTCAAGAAAATCACTAGCTTCAACTTTCTGTTTGAAATCTGGCCTCCTCTTCTGCTCATTGGTTTAACAATGGCYTTATAGCGCTCATAGGCTATAACGAGCAAGAAGGCGGGGGTCATTCGAGTTCCAATCCAAAAAGACTGTTTTATCTTACACATAGCTTCTGCCCCGGCATGACTTTTGTTGTAAACATCCATGATAACATCTRCTTTGTCCTCGAGGTACAACAGTGCATCAAGCAAAGCTTTGTATACTGCCAGTATACTCGTTATTACATCCAAGATGGCGAGGTTGAGAAGGACGTAGTTAAACGCGGTTTTCTTTACAAATTTCGATTGGAGTATGATGTGACAGACTAAAGAATTGCCAATGATAGCAGCAGAACTCACGATCAGCGTCAGTATGTCTGCTAACATGATTTTATAATGGCGATTCTTATATATATAATGTGTGAATTGTCGAGGTCTTTACAATTAGGAAAATCAATTCGTTTTGTAGCAATCCCGCGGGGAACAAGATAGAGAAGGCACTTCATAGTGATTTGATCACTGTATGACCAATCATAGGGTTAGCATTTGAATATCACGCTGTTGTTTTATTTGTAATCATTCAAGTTAATGTTTGAATCCAAAAATTGTCTTAAAATAGCAAAACACATAATATTTTGACTGCTTTTTCGAAGACAAATAACACACCATTCAAAGGTGCAATTAAAAACGTGTCCGTTAACAAGGCATGTTAATAAGTTTCTGTCACTGACATAAATCACTGTTCAGCCGTAATAGAACAGAATAGATTTAAATTAAATCAAAGGAAATCTTTATACATGAATTTCCTGCCTCAAGGCGAGTTGTTATTCAAGGGTGAGAATGAAAACCAATCACAGCATACGATTTTTTAAGATTGAAAAACGGCCTCATAGTCAAAACACTAATCCTTTTTTTATGCAAGCTATGASCGTGAATATTAAACTTTTCTCCGATGTTTTTAACAACAGATATTCATGTTTTTCATTCATCTGTAAGCATTTGAATTTTGGAGATGAAATTTAGCTTTATAGATACCTTGGACAAATAAAACCACGAAAAAAACTGAAAATGCACCTAAAAAAAATTAATTATTAAAACTCAAATGTTTAAGCATCACGTTTACGGCTAACGGCTAACGGCAGAGTTAAACCAATGACTTAAGAATTTCGTGCCCGACCTTGCGTTTTTGGTATTATGGCAACCCAAAAGTAACCCACTCTCGCGTTGAAACTGTAACGCAGTAAACGCCCCAAAAACAGGTGAAGTGATCGTTTCTACCGTTTGCCGTTTGCCGTGAACGTCATGCTTAAGCCCTCTAATTAACATATTCCTACTCAAAGTGATAAAAATATGAACGTTTTCACGAAGGGTCCATAAGGACTTTCAAWGCGATTAGTGGATGTAGGATATGCGAGTTATTCCATGTATATTCCGCCTTTTTTTTTTCTTTTCTCCCTTTTTTTTCAGTGGTCACGATTTCCCAAGCTGAACACTTTACTCAAAGGTCATCGGCGAGGAGAGCTTACGATATTCACTGGGCCTACAGGTGCTGGCAAGACTACCTTACTTAGTGAGATGTCCGTCGATTTGTGCCAGCAAGGGGTATGTAACACAATTAATTATCTGTATCTAACAAAACAAATGTTTCTAAGGGATCGTTCATTCATTTTTTTGTCGTTGGAGAGGGAAGATGAAAATTGATCGATTTTTATACTTATATGTCAATAAAGTATCCTAAAAAGAACCATTTCAAGACATATGGAGATCTGAGATATGTTAAAGGATCTTATAAACCAGTCAGCTTTATTTTCTATCATTGTTGGTCTGTCTTCAGGTCAATACGCTGTGGGGCAGTTTTGAGATCCGAAATGTTCGTCTGGCTAAAATTATGATGAACCAGTTCTCTGGGTAAGTGTGTTAAAAGCGCGTTTCAACGAAGAAGGTACATTGCCCTATGTCACGACGTCACAGTACGTTTGCATTGTAGATAGATGCTCACTGAAAGACTAGACATTTTGACCTATTGATATCCTTTCCCAAAATAGAACTTAAGTGTCTCGAGGTTTGATGTACATCATGTACCAGTAATTGCTCGTCTGCATTTTATTTGATATGCAGTCATTCCGATTCCCTATGGCGACARTAATCCTTAGCGTCAA